TGGTCCAACTTTTTGAAAGGAATGTATCCAGAAAATTTTGATACTCTTTGGTATTTTCAGCTGTTTGGATGATCCAAAATGGTTCATGGTTTTTTCACCCCAAATTTGGATGTTAAACCCCTCCCCCGACCGGAATGTCTTCACAGGGGATCTTCTCACCCCGGGGGGGCCGGCAGGACAACCGTCGATCCAGAGACCTCTTCCTCCGTCACAACAGGTGATAGCGTGGCTATGGGATTGATGGCTGGAAGAAATTGAAGACCGAAGACTACCACAATACCATTCGATAATATTATAACAACATATAGCAACATGATATGGCTTAAAACCCATGAAATGACGGTTTCCTAAGTCATGGAGGTACCCCCACATCATACAATTTATTAAATTATGACTTAGTATTGAAAGGCATGGTGACTTTGGGATCCACCATTTCAAGAAACCACCATTTGAAGACCAGATTTTCTTGGCACGCGGATTGGCTGGCCATTTTGGTTGTGGGGTTCCCTGTGATTAGACCAATGCGTTACCAAGGGTGGTACTTGGTAGAGGTGAAGAGCAACAAAGATGAGAACGAGATGCAGAAAAAGTATGCACACATACCATTTTTAAAATGAATATGCAAAGATAAATAGGTAAATGCTAGAATTTAGCCATTTAATGCAATTTTATATTTATTTTGTATGTTTTTTTAATTATTCAGATGAATGGATACATAGATAAATGAATATATGAATAATCAAATTGCCAAATGAACAACGGGTAAATAAACAGACGCACAGCACCCACACACACACACACATATATATATATATACATGTAGATAAAGAAACCATACATACGTTCATACGTATGTTACATACATGCATAGTACACACAGACACACATAGAAACCTACGTGGTTGTACAGATCCGTACTTTCTCTGCTTTTATCAATCCCGATTGGCCCGAAAAAAAATCGATTCAAAGCAGGTTGCAAGGTCAAAGACCGGCAGACCTCTTGACAGAGCGGCTCGGAGAATGGAGACTTGAAGCTGCAGACATAATTGTTGATTCTAAATCAATCTTCCCTGTTCTTCTGGTTTTTCCCAGCTTCATCGTTGAACAATTGTTTTTTAGGGGGTTTGATGATATGGGGTTTTCTTAAAATGGGGAATCTCCAAGCAACAGTAGTTGTTTCAATACTAACATGGCCTAATAAGTTGGATGGTTTGGGGGTACCCCCATGACTCAGGAAACCTCTACAAAACGGGTTTAATGCCATTAAGCCCGTGTAAATCCAAGATAGAAATAGTTCCCAGTGCACAAGATCTCAACTTACCTCATGCCAGTCCCATATGGCCTAACACCGAGCCGCAACTTATAGATGACAAACTACTCCAAAGTGCCACAGTGCCACAGAAACGATCCCTTCCCTGGCAAAAGGTTTCACGTTTGTTGGTGAAATCATGTCAAATCACACTTGATCAGTTGCCAGTGGCAGGAAAACTTGAAAGGAAAACCGGGATGCCGAGAGTTCGATGCGTACATCTATAGATCATATTTACCCTCTGGTAAACGTTTACATAACTATGGAAAATCACCATTTTTCATGGGTAAATCAACTATAAATGGCCATTTTCAATAGCTATGTTAAATTACCAGAGGGTAATATTTCTGGATTATTTGATGACAGCCCCTTTCCATCAATACACACCTCCCATCTCCCTGTTCTGGATTCCAAAGAGCAGGAATTTCCAGTAAGACTTTCCCCGACACTGATTTGCGTGGGGATGGGGTCTTGATGGGCACTACCATGAGTCCCTCACACTGATGATCGCAAGGGCAGCTGGCCTAAGACATCTACCACTTTCTTGTATCCTCAGGACTACTCTTAAGAGGCCCGTCTCACGGCAAGCTGCCTTTGCGGATGGTTTTCTCAACATGAATTTTAAAGTTCCGACTGCAGGCCGGCAGGCCAGACCCCAGACCAGGCCGCGTGCGGTCCATCGAAAAGAGCGCCTGCACCATACGCCGTCCGGGGCTCGTGTTGCTGGGTTGATGTCCCTGGCAGATCCTGGCAGGTACGGAGCGCAGGAGCGCTGTCTGGGAGAAACCCTTCACGGACCTGGGATGATCGGCCAATACCTACAACGGAAGCAGCTGAATTGATTTGCCGAATTGATTCCGAAGAGTGAAGAGTTTCATCATCAAAGATTCCAAAAGTTACGAAAGATCTAGAAAAGTCATGAAAACTCTTACCATCCGATAATTTGTTATACTGGTTGGTGGTTTGGAACATTTGGATTATTTTAACCCATATGTTGAGAATAATAATACCAACTGACGAACTCATATTTTTCAGAGGGGTAGGTATACCACCAACCGGGATTGATCGAACTAGATGATCCACCTATACCTACCAAAGAATATCCCAATTCTTTGTCGCTTACATGAGATGCCTATGGATCACCATAAACTACCATCAAGTCACCATTTAACCCGACTAAATCCATTAAAATTCCTATGAGGATTTCGATTAATCAACATGCCCTGAATCGCCAACAATTAAAGCACCATAAAATCCCATTAAATCACCATTAAATCCCTTGAAATCACTATAAGATCCCATTACATCCCCATAACATGTTTTAAATCACCATAAGTTTCCACTAAATGACCATAAAGTCCCATCACTACAGGATCCCATTAAATCACCATAACATGTCCTAAATCGTGCAGGAGAGAGTTCGCGTGGCCACCAGGTTCGACCGGCAAAGCGTCCAGGGCGGCTGGATAGTTGAACTCTTCAATAAATCCTGGCGACATTGGGAACATCCTGAAACTTCCATATTCTATCTCCAGGATGACGATATACATACATATACTATATATATATGATTCTCATTTTACAATGGTATAATATAGACTTTTCCCCAGAACATACGATTATAGATTTGGTTAACTATTCATGTATGCACCTATGAACTTCATAATCCGTTTGACTAATTGATCTATCCATGCATGCCGAAATCAATAAACATGTGCAGGGTATTAAGATGTATTAAGACTAGCCATAGATCTTACGGTTGGTATCCTGCATTTTTGATGGGGGTTTGTCCGCACATTTCATGGTGTTTTGACTCATTCGTCATATCCACATTTCATGGTGTTTTGACTCATTCGTCGCCTTGGATGTGCTTGGAAAATGTGAGAACCCCAGTAATAAACCTACCATTTGTGGATGGTGATGGCATACCACTCATAAATTGCTCTTTTTTGGGTTGGTTCGGTTTATGACTTGACGAATCGGTGGAGCTGTAACGAAGAAAATTGATGTGGGTAATGCACCTTTCTGCGTGACTGCGTGCATGTGTAGTCATGTTTGCATGTTGGCATGCATGCATCAATGCATTTTGAAACGTCAAGATATTGCCATTTAATTCGGGAAGAGCTGATGTCAACATCATCGTGAGAGTGACAAGGAGGCCGTCATGATTGACAAACATTTTCTAGTTGCATTCAGAACTTTGAAGCCGCGATAAAGTCCGACTTTAGGTCAGTCTTGGCCAGTCTTGGCATTTCGGGGCACACCTGGATGGATCCAGATTTCGCATTAAACCGCTGCCATTTTGGTTCAGGCTCTTTGGCAGAACAAAGGGAAGAACCGTTTCTGTCAGGGCCTGGGCTTATACCCACTGCTTGGTTGCATTTGCAACCGAATTTCGGAATCGGGCAGCCCTTGCCTGGCCGCCGTGGAGTGGGTGGCTCAGATGGGACAACTCGGTTGCGGTGGCACAGGGCTGGTAGGGTGTGGCAAGTCCTGGTGCAGGTATCAGGTCATATTGGCCCAAAGAGTCATAACCGGAGTGTGGCATATTTGATGTTGGTATGTTCCTATTTTTTCAGCTTTGATTGATTTTCGGTTTGGCCCTTTCCATTCGGCATTTTATGGTAAGCCGCCTCGCCAGGAAATTCGATTTGTCACTTGGCAGCCTGGGACCAGAAAGTGGGGTCCAGTCTGGGGAGTTGCGGCTTTGGCGGATCATCCCAGCTGGCAAAGATGCACCAGCGTGTTTCCACTGAATATCATTTAACATCATCCGAGACTTTTCTGCCTGCCTGGTGCATAACTGTTTATAACTCTTCAATGCCCCAGCCTTGGACGATTTTCCAGCTCACCAAAATGTATATAGATCTCTTCAATTTTCCACTATTGTATTAGCTATTGGTTATATAATTACCATTATATACCATTATATCATATATACACCAGATATCCAATTCGATTGTTATAACAATTTATATTATAATAGTTGATAATACCAATACAATGGTAACAATTGATAATTTATAATTGATAATATATATATATTATCATAATTGTTATGATGGTAATATACCACAATATATTTGACAATATAGTTATAATTGTTATGATCCGTTGCTTCGTCCTCTGGGACTGCCCGCTTGTGCCCAGCGTCTTAGGTATTTTCCGCACAGACGCTGGGCGTGCGAAGTCAGGGCGTGGATCTGGGCTGATGCTTGGTCTCAGCACCAACAATACATTCATAAAAAATATAAATACATTTGCACATGTTCAATTCTATTTATACTTTTTAAATATTATATTTACATATACTTTACTGTAGTATGATGACTGTGACTGTATGATGTTATTTACATATAGTAACTATAGTATAATTCTATTTATTCACAACCATATGATGTTCTTTACACACACACATATATATATATATATAATAGTAATTCTTTGGGGTTTTACGAATTTGGTATAATGTGTGTAAAACAATTATAAACCACCCATTTGGGAATGGTTGGAATCCCACCTATAAAAATGGTGATGACTGGGGGATGGTTTATGGCATTGTTGTACCCTCCATATAGTATGATGACTGTATGACTCTGTGTGATCTAAAATGATGCGCGGCTGAGGTTCCCTTCCACGGCGCCAAGCCCGCGACCGTTGGCTGAAGTCCTTCTGCCCTCCAAAGACCGGCATGTCACCAAGGCATGGCGGTCACCGAAGACTCTTCTGAGTGTTGGGGGCATGGTATTTTAATAGCAGCTTATGATAGATTTATATAGTACATACCCATCTAGTAATAGGATGTAATAGGATTTATAAGGAATTTTATGGGACTTCAATGGAATTTAATGTTTTTTTTTGGGATTTGATGGTGATTTAATGGGATTTCATGGGGATTTGATCGGAATTCATGGGATTTTATGGTGATAATTAGGGATCCAACCAACAAACATGGTGATTTTCCATAGCTATCTATGTTAGTTTACCGGATGGTACTAGCATTCTGGGAATGATAATCATAATTATAATTGATTACTATTCTTGTAATGTAGGTGTAAAACAATCATACACCTCCGAGTTTGGGAATGGTTTGAATCCCACCTATAAAACTGGTGATGACGGGGGGATGGATGGTTCATTGTTTTACCATCATTAATCACATCCCCCTAATATTAAACACCACCCAAATGGTTCCAATTATGTGGAAATTCCCTATTAAACAATGGTTTCTAAGGGGGTGTTTAATATTAGGGGGATGGGATGAATCATCATAATCGGAGTTATTTGAGTTGAGATGGCCCTGGCCGGTCAGCAAAAGCAGGGCTGCGGCGAGAGCTGCAAAGATGCTGGTGCTGAGCCACTTGGCTGCGAAGCACCTGGCAACAGTAAGGCTGGCGAAGCCAAAAATTGGTCGTTTATCCTCTGGTAAACATTTATCCTCTGGTAAACATACAAGAAACTATGGTTTTTGTATGGGTAAATCAACTATAAATGGCAATTTTCGATAGCAAACTGTTAGTTGGCCAGAGGGTACCAGCCTTGCAATCCTGGAATGGCGAGATTTTTCCAAGCCAAACATTGTACTGGACTATGTACTGGATATGTGGCAGCAAAAAATATTGGTGGTTTCGAACATGTTCTGATCCCAATACGATGACGATCTGGATGGGTGTTGCCATTTTACGACCTCAAGGGCATTTGCTCACAACTGGCGAAGTTTTGCCCAAACCCCACTTGAGCAGTGCCCAATACCAAACACCAATAGGGTTACACATATTACCCAGCTACGGTATACTGGGATTTCTACTGCCGAGGATGGGAACCCTATGATAAAAACAGGGCAGTATCCCTTTGAAGCATTGGCTCCAAGACAAGAAGTGGATGATGGGAACATTGACGGTTGACACCCAAACATATCTGGGGATAGCCAGTTTCCAGTCGATTTTCCTTTGAATTCTTCACGCCAGTCCATTCATTGGATTGTGGTTGGTGAATATCCCCATTTTTGATGGCCCTAAAAACTGCTGCTGCAATCATGTTGAATCTAATTTTATTTTTGGTTAATTGGTGAATATCTCCATTGTTGATGAGTTAACCATGGTTAAGCCCTAGATATTGCTGGTCAAATCCATGGTTAAATCCCATGGCTTGCGGATTGCCTGGTTTTTTTTCTTGGATTTTGGGCCCCGAGGTCTGTTGCTCTTCACTGCTTCGTGGGCATCTTGGGGGCTCCGGGGAGGCCCGGAAAGAGAAAGATTTGTTGCGGACAGCGGAGGTTTTTGGCTGGTGGATTTGTTTGGGATCCTCAAAACTCAAAACGGGAAAAACCCCATATAGTCATAAAGTAATTAGTAGAGATAGATGGGATGGATTGAAATTGGATTAGATGAGAGAAGATAGGATGAAACATGATGAAACAACAGAACCGCATGCACACCACCAACAAAAAGGCAGAACATGCAGAACAGACTAGGAGCCTGTGCAGTGCAGGCCCATGTGACCACTATGACCGAGCTGGGCTCGGCTTTTCAGCAAAACATTTGGACTGGCTATAATGTGGTAAACCCAGCAATAAACGATCCCCAATGAATCTCCAATTTTGCCATAAATGGATGATACATCAAACCATCCCTCATGGCAGTTGAAGAATGTTATCATTGGGTTTGCCACATATGTTACACCCATGTTGCACCATGTTAAACCATATAACAGCCATGTAAGGGCCCGCTAGTTGTGAACCAGGTAGCAGTTCCCCTGGGTCACCGAGCTTGGCTGCGAGGTCATGGGAGTGGGGCCATGGATATTTCACCAACAATGGGGGTCTTTGGCGATGTTCACTCAACAAGATCAGCTTTTTAGAGATGAACATAGGTGAACTAGCTAGAACGGCTTGGGGTTGCTATGAAAAGAATTCGGCGTGCTTTGACACACATCACCGCTGGGTCTGTCCGAAAGGCTTCAGTGACGTATTTCCTCAAGACTGAAATCAGGGTCCAAAAAGTCAGGTTGCACCTGGCACTGTCCCGAAATTTATCCGGCACAGAATGGGGCTATCTTTTAAGCTTCCCCGGTGGCCAGGAGTTTCCTTTTGGCTGCTGAGACTCCGAGCCGTGGGCCCAGACATGGATCGAATGGACATGGCGTCCTTGGTGGCTGTCAGGTTCACTTAAATAACTGCAGGACTGGTATGGACTGGTCACTTTGACCACCCATTGGTTTCTGGGCTTTCTGAAAGTTCCTTGATGCTGAGCCATTCCTATTTTCGGCTTCGAGCCACATTTCCAACCCAGAAAAGGTCGAACAGCTGCCGTCTCCGAGGCCAGGTGGCCCCGAGCCACCCAAGTCCAAGCACAGAAGCTGCACCCTGCGAGTCACTTCTGAAGGACGGCGATCCTTCCAGAGGCCAGGGTTGGTTCCCTTGAAGGGTGGTGCCACCGAATCGAAGGTATGGCCAACATTTCCATTTCTTCCCCTGTGACATGGCAGAAGACGCATATGTTCCAACAAAAATCCCAAAAAAAGTGGGGATCCAGGTCACTCCAGCAGCTTCTGCGGATGGGCGGCTTGGCGGAAACGCCGTAAAGGCATGCAAAAAAAAACAAATGCAAACATTGAACAGTGTGATCTTCTGCGATTATATCTACTTGAGGATGATTGTATACATGCATATATATATATAAGTTTATTTATTTATATATATATATATAAGTTTATTTATATATATATAAGCGTTTTTTTTTAAATATAAATATATATATATATGTGCGTGTCAGTGTGTGAGTCTATGTAAGCACCCATGTTTTTCAAAGCCAACATCTTCCAACAACAAAGCGTCTGGCGTCTTTTTCCGTCCCGAAATGCCCAAAAAGCTAGGCTGTCAGCCTCAGCATTACGGGTGTGGTCCTCACTTTTGCCTCCCGTGGCTTGCTCCATGCTCCTGGAGTCATAGGAGAAACGAGTTTTTGAGCCCCCTTGGGGTGGTGGTGCTTTTCATGGGGAAAGCAGGGCGTTTTTCTTAGAGAAAATGAATATAAGCAAGTGGAACATTGTTTATACATATAATTATGGGGATGAGGAGGAGGAGGAGTAGGAGGAGGAGGATGATGATGATGATGATGATCTCAAACCAATGGAACATGGCTATGTCTATCTAGGGAAAATCATGAGTTATCCGTGGATTTAGGTTTTTACAGGGGAATTCATGAGTTTATCACTAGAGAAAATTGGGGGAACTACTCCCAACAATGGCTATTCGCTAACCTGCGTCAAGGTAAGCGCCGAGCCCGTGTTCGGGGTGCTTGGCGATGCTTGGAGCACAATGGTTAGAACAGGGGGCTCATCCGCCAAAACATGGTGGAATTACAGTCATTGATTTCATGGCCGGTGAAAATTTGGGACTTCCAGGGTGGGAGACCCAAAAAACAGGTCGGTGAGGTGGTGAAATGCTGGTACATCCACCTTTCCGCACTGAGGAAGGGCTATGAATGCAGTTGCCCTTGGGATTGCAGCTGCATGCGGCAGCGAGTTTTGGTTTGTTGGTAAAGATTCCACAGATTTGTGTCATGTCAAAAGGGACCCCTGAGATTTCCCTCGACATTTCGTTTCAAACAAGTGGTTTATGTTTCTCTGGGATCGCGGGGTTGCAAGAAATCCATGGCTTCTGGTTCCCGATCCTGAGAATTGCTCTGCCCGCTTGTTGGTCGCACCAAATGCTTTGGAGTTTTCATTCCCGTTATGTCCCGTTGCTTCAAACGGTTCCTGTTGCCCACAACACTTTCATTCCCGTGCACCAAACGTGCATCCGTCCGTCCGTCCATATCCGTCCATCCATCTCTGTACAATGGCAAGGATCTGCACGCCCAGCAAGTGACACTCATTATTGCTGTAGGTATTGCAACATATTGCCAACATATTGCAACTCATTCAGAAAGCCCACGTTTTTTTTCCTTTAAAATCCAGGAATCCAGGAATAACGAATAACATATTGAATCATACTCATCAAAATCATGGCAATGGGAAATTTCCCAATGGCAAGGCACGACTGCGTTACCCTGAGCCCAGGTGGCTCGGTGAGCATCATGGGACCCAATGGAGTATACAACGGTACCATAGATCCTACTCATCCCTACTCAACAAGGGGACGGGGAAGACTTCTATCCTCTTGGGGTGATTTTCGGGGTCTGTGTCAGTTGGGATGGCAATGTCCAAGAGAGGAATCATGAGCTCCCGAAACATCCGAAAGCAGATCTGGTCGTTGGGGTGGAGTGATCAAATGACGGGGGTTATGAGCAACAGAAGGTATAGAAGTCTACGCTGCAAATGGGAACAGAATTGATCTACAAAGAGTGAGGTAAAGTGCTGCAGATGCCATAGCTGGTGAGTACCGCATCCTCTGGCGATCGTGATGTATCTAACTGCCGAACACTGGGATAACAGGGAAAACACCGTTTTCTGCAAATCCAGGTTGAGGCAAACGGACATGTCTTCCCAAAGATGCTCTGATAGACAGATAAGAGAAGACACGATAAGATCACATCAGATCAGATCAGATAGATAGATCATGATAGATCCACAGATCGATTGTTTCGTTTGGCGTCCTCATTGGACGGCTGCGGACCGTCGAGAGCGCGAGAGAGAGAGAGAGAGAGAAGTCGATCTACCAATAGATAGATCATGATAAATCATGATCGACCAATAAATAAATCACAATAAATCAACAAATAGAGAGGTTAGACATCCAGTTGGTCATATCCCTCTTGACCCCTCTTGGTCCTTTGCCGAGTTCGCCGAGCTCCTACGCGGCGGCTCTTCTGAATCCTCCAACACTGGACTTCTTGTGTCGCTCGCAACGGTGGGCTGAGGACATTGAGGACATGGGGAGCTGTTGAAGCATGGAAGAAGCGGGTGGGTCCTCAGGGTGGAGTCCCCAAAAGTGGGGAGAGTCTGTGGGATGAAGAAAGAAGACATAAATAACTCTAGTAAACTCTAGTATATCAGGTATTACCCTCTGGTAAACTAACAGTTTGCTATTGAACATGGCCATAGAAATAGTGGATTTACCCATTAAACATCGGTGATTTTCCACAGCAAAATGGTAGTTTACCCGGAAGGTATCATGCCTGGCCCGGATCCAGCCTGGTGAACCTTGGTGAAGCCGAAAATAGCAGCAGCATCTGTAGCTATAGCTATGGACGCGAATTGCTCCAAATTTATAGGAAAAATGCATGAAAAATGAATGAAGATGACATAGGTTTTGACAAAAATCCCCATTTTGGATTTCCGAATCTGAACATTCTTGGCCCCCGGCCAATGGCCTTGGCCTTGGAGGATTCTGACGATGAGTTCAAGAGGAACGTGGACGGCACGGCGATTCAGAAGACCCGTTCGTTGCCAGCGAAGCGCCTTGGACCGCTGTGGGCTGGTTAGATATATACTTAGCGTATGGGCCCAAATGAAGAGAGAGAGAGAGAGAGTACTTAACCGGAGGTTTCTCGAAAGGCTATGCAAAAAGAGGAGGAAGGGAGGATTAAGATGATTAAGCGGTGAAACTAAGCTTGGGGACCAGATAAGACCAAGTTGCCAAAACAAGAAACACACAAGATTGGGCCGCCATTGCTGCTCAATCCCTCAAGAGGGATACCTGTGGCATGCTGCGATAGAAGTTGGACTTACTGTAATATCTCGAGAGGATCTTGGGAGGTTTGAGATGGTTGATTGAGCACCCAATGATGAACAAATGTCACCAGAACCTACCAAATCAAGAGCGAACCACCCGCCACAGCATTTTTTGGTCTACTGCAGATACCCCACTGGACCAAGCATGGCATGTTTTAGAATCGCACTTCGCCCTCCCAAAAAATGACATGGAAGTCCAAAATGAACCTGTCGCTCAGGACAACATCCAATTCCATCAGAATTCGATTTTAGGTTTCTAGGGTAATGTCACGCCGTGTCGCAGCATATCCCCATCTTTGGTGACTTTTCCATACTTTTCAAGTGGGAAACTCAGCACATCTCAGCACGAGGATGGTGGGGGCATCTGGCTTCTCCTCCATCTCTGTGCCTTGGCCCGCTTCGGTTTCAGCATTCTGCAGCTCAGAGCAATCACGGCCATTCAAGGACTCGGATGAGGAGAGGATGTCTTTCTCTAGCCGGTGGCTGGGTAGCAAAAACGATGAATTCACTCGGATCGGATCGGCCCAAGGGCCGCAATCAATGTGGTGCCCTTGGGGGTCCGGGCCTGCAATTTGGATGTTCTGAATTTTGCTAAGAGACGAGAGCTTCTCAGACTTGCAGTTCATTGGAGAAACTGTGAAAGCTGTTGAAGGTGTTAAGATTTGTCAATGCACCTTCGTCTTTGAAAAGGGCTCAACTGGTTCAATGTTGAGTAATGTCAGCCCGGGATCAATATAAACCTTGACTATGAAATTATCGGGTTTTCATGGGTTTTCCCCAAAATAATGATAAAATGTGATGAATTAGTACAAATTACATTCAATTACTATTTGAATTGGTACCGCTTGGATGCTTGTCGAGGCATCACATGGGACCGCATCAACGTGCGCCTACTCTGTTGCAACGACGTCAAGCACAGACGCGCAAAGGCTGTGAGAGCCGGCCGTTCGAAAAAAAAATACAGATATCAGACCTGGCAATGGGCCGTATTTTCATGAGGGACTTGATTATACAGAGACTGTGGATGTTCGATTGCCAGATTTTACTATTAACAGGCATGCAGCATGCCAACTTTGTAGATTTTGTAGTGCCCCACTTTGATGAGC